CTTCTCTTTTTTTTCTATCCCACTCTCTGACACCAATTTGTTACGTCTCCGTTTGTGTTGATTGATTTTTCGTAACTTCGTTCCGACGAAACTTAAGCGACACAAGTCCTTTCTTAATAAAACTAGTTTATTCTTTCCGAATATAACTTTACCGATACACTCAACTTCAACAATCGCGCTAAACAAACGCTGTAACGTCTCTCGTGCTCTCTGACTGCAGTTCAATTACTCACTATCTACCCACACATTACATTCCCCTCTTTTATATACCAGCCTACCCTATATCTAGTAATTACTAGAGCATTCGCCAAAGTACAGGATAGTTCTAGAAACGTGGCGTCTCGGTGGTCATGTGACTCGCTGACGCAACAATAACTTTGTGAGTTTATTAGTTTCATAATATGCTGTAAATGTTGATATTTTAATTGTTTGGAAATCACATTATTCAATTTGTTTTTGCTGGTGCTACGGATATATTAGCCAAATCTCCAATTTGTTCAGATATATGATAGAAATATCCTATTTGGATTCAGCTATCAAACTTTTCCACAATGTCCTGGTTTGTTCGGTTTAATTTGTTGTGTTTTAGCGTAAAGCTACACAATGGGCTATCTGCACCCTGTCCACCACCGGAAGTCGAGCGGACCTACTGAGGACCACAGTATCCTGAATATGTTTTCTCATAATAGGCAAATAGTACCAGTTATCTTTCGCATTCTACCAAAACAAAGCTTTATGACTATCAACTAAAATTCAGGGACCCCTGCCATGGTCATTGTGCAGTTAGCTTATTTGCAGCTTCGCACACTTACATAAACAAAAACCATAATCCTGTAATGATATGAACATATTTAATAAGATAAAATTCTAAAATATTTTTGTTTATTCTTATTACAATTTGTAAATTGCTCCCTTAGCGCAGCGGTAAGCCCGAGGGCTTGAAGGCTAAAATTTAGTTTTGTTACCCGTTTTGGGCAAACCATAGATAATTCTTCGTGTAGCTTTGTGTTTAAGTGACTTTAACAACAAAGAGTCAATTAATTAATACATTGCAGATTTTTTGTTTTTCACAACTAATATGTATTTCTAATTTGAATTTGATAGTTTACAAAAGTTTGAATATGGGTTTCCGAAGCTTAAACTTTATACATATAATAATAAAGAAACATGGTAATATTCATACTGACATTTTCAACTTTTTCACTTTATCAATAGACCAGTAATAACAATTGTTCGTGGTGGTCATTTGCGGATAAAGTCATCATCTTTGCTAGGGAACAAGTAAACATGTTCAGTGTGGTTGTAAACTAAGTATGAGAAAGTAGCTTTTTTGTCACATAGTCGTAGTAATGCAAATGATAACTAGTTGGGCTTGTGTGCGGATCTACCTGAAAGTTAAGCCTAATCATATCCTTACATGTCACTGATGTTATCTTCCAGTTTAAAAAAAATTATAGGATCTAGAAATGAAGAAAAAACTACTGGTCAGACAAACGTGAGAAAGAGATTTCTCAATCTAAGGTATATATATATATGATTCTTGAACTAAAGACAGTAAAGTTCACATTGAACCTGTACTGTACAGTAGTCATTAGTATACTTTAATTTTTACTTCTTTTTTGTTTTAACTTTAAAAGTTTAAGTTAGTTATTCGTTACACTCCAGACTTGTCACGAGCAGTGACATGGTATTAATGTTATATACTTATAATAATATTATAATTACTACATAGTACATTACAGCTATAGAGTTGCATGTTTAAAGCTACAACTCTATGGTTAGAAAAAACGGTAGAAAAGACCGTTAGACTGTCACAGCTTGCTGAAGTAAAGTTTACTGAAGTCTAAAGACAGAGTAAAGTACTAACTACTATGTTACGAAAAAATACATTGACAAAACATTAGGTAATAAATACCTAAAATAGGCTAAATTTAGTAAACATTTTGTTTATATAACTTGAGTCTGAGCCAAGGTGAGTGTGAGCTGTACAAACTTGTTACTGTTAGTTGTAAAGTAGAACAGTTGTAAACATTGTTTATATTAATAGGCTTAACTTAAGACAAAACTTGTAAGGCTGAAGTTTAGTCTTATGAATATGAAAATTCTGTGGCTGTTAATGTTATGAGCCTACCTTTTTCTTTTTGAACACGTAGCCTTGTACAAATTGTTGATTTATAATTTTAAATACACATTAGAATCAGTTACTTATGAGGTTTAATTTAACTTTAAGTCATTACTAATAATAGTAGTTAGCATTTCATGATTTTCTGTGCCCAGCATAGAATTGATGTCTAGTGTATGTTACATTACATTGATTACAGTACCTGTGTTGATAACAGGTATGAAGGCTGAAGCATGAAAACCTTCAGAATGCAAATAAATGTTCCATGTTGTATACATGGGGAAAGAAAATTAAAGTATAAAAAAAATACTAAGTGATAGAAGGCCCATATAGGTTACTCAATAAAGAAGCCAGGTCATACTAAGGATAAAAACTTAAAGGGGTTCAAATTGTCAGCACACAATACATCTTGTGGTAAGCCATTCCACAAGTTGAAATGATAACAGATAACAATATTTTTTCTTAATCAGCCTGGACTTGTGCTTCCACAGCTTATACTTACTTATTTTTGGCCATCAAGTTTAGAAATTTACTCCTTGTACAGTAGTCCACAACATTGGCATAGATAATAATAATGGTCCAAGAAAAACCCTTGAGTGACTCCACTAGATGCATTTTTCCAATCAAAATGATCATTTACCACAAACCTTTATTTTCTACCTACAAGCCAATTTTTAATTCACCTACTGAGTTTTTCTCTAGTTATGCAAAAACCTAACTTACTGTGTAACCCCATGTTTCTGGTAGAGCTTAGGATAAGCAAATGACAGAAGTTTCAGTCATGTATATACCCACAAGCTTGCCTTCCCTTTCAACTTAGCCTATGAAATTTTAAGCATTTTATTATTTAAGTTTTATTATGTAACTTAACAAACTTTTGTACTTTACTTTTTTGTTTCTTTTTTTAAAAAGTATGTAACAATATATAAAAGATACACAAATAAACTATGTTTAGTGCTCACATAAAATTAAGGCAGTTTTTTCACTTGAATAGACTTCTTGGTAAGTCTTGTTGAACATTGAATTTGGATTTCCAAAAAACTATTCATTGTACCATAAATTTTAAGAGGACAAAATGTGTATCAGATCACTAGAGTCAAAGGTCCCCAAACTACTATAATTTATCTATGTTTCAAAGTAAGCTATGAATATGTTAATAAAAATGCCACCAGCAACTCGGAGTTGAAAAACAACAATCACAGACAAAGAATCTGAGGCCAACTGTTTATATATGCTTGCCAAAAAAGAAACAACTGTAGTAATGTGTATGTAGAGTACAGTTTTCTCTTTCTAGTAGTTATAAGCATGTCCATTAGTCATGTAGAGATAATATATACATAAACTGCCTTGAAAGACAGGACAGACTTATAGGACTTATCTGGTGGGTTTGACAAATTTATTTATATCTCAGCAAATCAAGGAGATAGGAGGTGTAAATTTATATTATTGCTTGTAATTGTGTATAGTTTGTGTTTCTAATTGGATGGACACTGAAAGCCATATTATTGAAAATCTAAAAGGAAGGATTTATAGTACAGATTCCCTATGTGACACAAAGTGAAGGTTGAGAATGTTTTCAAACATGTTTTTTTGAAATTTAAAAATTAACACCTAGAGAATAAAAAATTGTTTTATTAACATATATTGATGGTAAAGTTGCTTGATTAAATTTTGAATGTAACTAAAAAGTCATGACATGTTCACTTTGACCCAGCCATATGTATATGGTTATGGGTTTGTAGGAGAGTTACTAGGATGATACCTGGGATAGAAAGGGTTGTAACAAAAGGAAGGATTAAGATCTCTGAAATTGTTTTCTCTTGAGAAAAAAAAGAGTTAGGATCTGATTGAGGTGTTGTGGTTAAGGGAATTGACAGTATCAGTGTTTCGTCACCTCCTAGTACTTAATGGTGAGAATGGTAGGACAAGTGAACACCAATATAAAATTTATAGAGTACGAGTCATCTTCAGATTACAATCTTACATTTCTAACAGGATGGTTGTCTTTGGAATTGGTTGCCTTTATATATGGTGAGTGTGATAAATTTAAGAGAGCTTAAGGGAAAGTTTGATAAATATTTAAATTATCAGAGCTATTTTTTTTAAGTGAATGGGACAGCAGTGATGGACCAACAGACTCCTTGTTTTACTATGCATCTCATTATCTTCTTCATTAACAAAAATACTAGGGAAAAATATAACACTTGAGACATATTTTTTCTTTATAGAGCTGGAGGATTAGTGGAATTTGATAATTGATTAATCATTGTGCTCACTAATCAGTTACATGAAACTACTTGGTTAGTTTCACATGAGGCTTGAATAGTTGGAATAATTGAAATTAGTTTTTTCAATAACTACTTCAATTAATTGATTATTTTTATGAGTTGTGACACTAATTGATTAAGCTCAACAACTTTAAATTAATCAAACATAATAATGAGAAATCATAATGGAAGTATATCGATTATTTGGATGGTTGGAATAATAAAAAGTGTAACAATTGGGAACAATTTCAATTAGTTGATTATCTTGTTGACAGTTGATTTAATCGATGCTCATAGGTGATTGATTATACAAATTATTCTATTCAAAATAATTGCTCAGTTCTACTCATCAATAATGGTTCTATTTAAACCTGTTACATGTACAATATTTTCTTTGACTTAATGTTTTGCTCTTGACCTAACCATAAAACTCTTTAAACTGAATTTATTACAAGCTAACAACCTTTTAAAGTCCATCATTGCCTCAGCTATGGCTTTTTTAATCATGCTTTATTTATTTTGGTATCATACTATATCATTTTAGCAGTAATTTTCATATTTTTGAAAACTGTACATTTACCATTTATTAAAAATGTAAGGTGTCTCTTCAACCGTTTAGGACTTGGTCTCCAAGTTGAACATAAAACATATAAACAAATAGTCTTTTTTAGTAAATTTAATAAAACCTGGTAAATTGAGCAACTGAATTAATTGGAGATACTGATCAAATGTGGACATTTTTTTAAATATTAAAGATACACATGTTCCTTACAGAAAGAAAAGAGTAGTTGCAAATACAAAACCAGAATAGTTCACAAGTTTAAAAGAGAAAATAAAAAAAGCATAATAAATTCAAGAAGTTTAAATTGTTTGCTCTGAAAGGAGACTTAAAGGATTATAGAAGATCAAGAAAGTTAGTTAAACAGGATGTTAGGCAATCAAAAAAGGGTATACGAAAAAAGATTGGTTGAAAATATAGATATTAATAGTAAGGATTCTTTTAAATACATTAAGGCCTTACTACAGGTAAACAAAATGTGAGGATGGGGGTAGGGTCTTTGAGAGATGATGAGAGGAGATACTGAATTTTAAATTTTCTTCCAATTTTACTAATGAAGATATAAGCAATATTCTTCACCCTGAACATTTGGTAGATGAAAACAAGATGATTGCATTAATTCTGCAATGATAATTAAATTCTTCACACTGAAATGCTACTTTTCTCATACTTCTACCTATGAGATTGCATGCCACTAGCCTTGAGGTAACTCCCACCTAAATTCACAAGTTTAACATGAACTACACTGGTGCACGGTGATATCATGTAATGAAAGTCCTCCACTAATATGAGGATAACACAATCTTTATGAACAGTAATTCCCCCTATGCACCTATACTCATGATAATATCATTATTTTCCTCTGCATTGTATGATGCAGATGCATTCATATTTTATCTGGTTTCACTTTGATGAGATTTGCATTTGTTAACAAAACTTTGATTTTTGTTTTCTTTAGCTTCTGTTTCAAAAGCTTTCATTTTTATTATGAATTCTCAAGTGATGGTGACATCTACGTAGTCCTGTGTGAGTAAGAAGTTACACACACAGGCCTTATTTTAACTGCGGCTTCTGGAGGCTTGTTAAATGTTGGGGACATTCCAGCCTTTGCTTAATGTGATGTGGATTACCACATGCTTACTGGGTTTCCTACTCCTATCCTGTCAGCCACCGTCCTTTCTCCTTAGTCGGGAGTTGTCTGTTGGATTACACATTTAATCTGATTCGCTTTGTGTAGTGCCTTACCATTTAAAGTGTGACTTTATCCTTGGAATTTCTTTCTCAGGTATGTTTACTTCCTTATCTTTTGTCTGTGTCTTATAATATTTCTCATTCTTCACTCCATGAATCCTCTTCTTGGGGTTTATTTTTTTCCTTTTTGCTTATTTTTAAGATTTATGCTGTTTCCTTTGTCTAACAGTCTCTCTCTCTCACACCCAAATGCCACATATCCCTCCCATTTGTGACTCTTTTGTCCTGACTTGCAGACATTCTTCTTTTTCTTTCTAGATTCCCTGTCTTTAGTATCTGTTAGCCTGCTTGTGGATTGGGCCCCTTGCCTTCTATTTCTCACTCTCGTTCCCTGTTTTTGCATCATCGTCTTTTTTCTCACCACCCTCTCTTACCTCCACCTTTTGTCTGAGGCACTTCATCATGTTCCAGAGTTCATTCCCTTGTCTTTGTCATCTTAACCTTTTGTACTTCTGTTCTGTTCCTTCTTTCTTTATTTCCCTGCTGTTGAGTCAAGTTGTGTTCCTCTTAACTGTACACCTTCCTCCTTGTGCACATGGTCTTCATCCGGCTACCTTTCTTCACCCAGACATCTTTGGTGGTGTATATTTCTCACTGGAGGCCTGAACTGAAGTTGTATGACTTCAGTCCTTGTTATCTATTTGTGTTTTTTCTACTTTCTTGACTTTGCTTTTTGACTCCTTTTTTCACCTGGATCAATCTACATCTAATCTTCTCATTCCAGGTACCAAGCCTTTCTCTTCTTTTTTTATCTTCCACTAACCAACATCTAATTCAGTGCTCTTGTATGTTCCATCCATCAGATTTGCATCTTCCAATTCCTTGCTTTTCTCTTCAAGATAGCATCCATCAGCCTTTTTTGTATTCATTTGTAATGTAAGGGCTTTCACTCACCGTCTTCATGGCTTGGCTGTCATTCCTTTTCTTGGATGATCGACTTCTGTTGGTTCATTCTCGGGTGATATCCTCTTCTCCCACCTCTATTCCTTTGCAGCAGGCTGCTTGGTTGGGGGTGTCTTTTCAAGTACCCATTCAATATTTGGTAGTTTTAGGTGTTTTCTTTATCTCTTGTCTCAACCGAGCTCAGCCTTCTCCTCTTTGCCTGGGAACTATGGAGTATCTGGTCATCAGGATTTGTGCTTTTATTTTTATCCTGTGCAAAGGTGTTCTTTTGCTTTTGGGGACTGGCTTCTCTCAGACTTTTCATTCCTTTTGGGTACACACACACATGTGCCTCCTCTAGTGGTCCTTGAGGATCCAAGGGATTCTTTCTTGAGTTCCTTTGCCCTTGTTTGTGAACTTCCCCTTTCCTCTTCTTGAGGAAATGTCATAATGGCTGGACCATGCCCATACTACTTCAGGTATTCCCTAATCGATTCTCATACCATATCTTTCTCTTCACAGTGCTTCCCTCTTGGATGACGTGCATTTCTTTCTAAATTGAAAATGTATTTCTGATAGATACTTGCCTCCTTTCACATTTCCACCTGTCCTTCCCACTTTTGGTGCACATTTTTTTGTCTTGCCTCATCAAAAAATGATGTTATGATGAATGCAAGAGCATAAGGGGAGTTACTGTGCATGGAGGTTGTGTCGCCCTCCAATTGGTGGAGGGCTTTTGTCACATAATGAAGTAATCATGCCCAGTGCAGTTCATGTTAAACACAAGGCTAGTGTCATGCAAATCTCATAGGCAGATGTGTAAGGAAAATAGGAGGTGAGTATCTACTGGAAATACATTGCCAGATTAGGAAAATGCTAACTTTTAAGCTTGTTAAAAAAAATTGGAAAGCTTAAAGAATGATAAGACTCTTGGACCAGATAATATTTTCCCAAGGATTTTGAAGGGGATAAGGAGTAGATGTGTGAGCCACTTGCTAATATTTTTTGTAAGTCCTTAAATAATGGGCACGTGCCAGAGGATTGAAAGATGGCTGGTGTTACTCCTCTTATCAAGAAAGTGTTAAAAATTGTCTTGGTAATTATAAGCTTGTTAATCTTACATTAATGAGGGTAAAAGTGTTAGAAAGGCTTATAAAAGCTACTTTGCAAAGTCATTTAACAAAGTTTAAAATTTTATTTGATAATTCACTAGGGGAAAATCCTGACTTACTAATCATTTGATATTTCTTGAAGAGGTTGCTGATATAATGGATGAGAATAAGGGTTTCGGTTTGCCATATCTAGATTTTCAGAAAGCATTTGACAAGGTGGCATATAAGGTTTATTGAAACGTTCTGTATTAGTTAGGAGGATAAGTGGGCTGGATGGAAGCAAGCAGAGGGTTGTTATAAACTGAGCTTAGTCAAACTGTATTTATGTCAAGTGGGGCACCTCAGGGCTCAGTGTTAGGACCTTTGCTTTTTTTGACTTACATTAATGACATTATGAAGGAATGAACAAGAAAGTGCTTAAATTTGCCGATGATATTAAGGTCTTGGGTGTTGCTTGCTGTGAGGAAGATGCTGCTGCTTTAAAAAAGGCTTTAGGTTATTTAGTGAATTGTACGAATAACTGGGAGATGAGTTGTAATCAAAATGAATGAAAAGCAAGGCATGTGGGATATCAGAACTTAAATCATAAGGTTAATTTTTGTTTTGGTTGATCACCTTCTTAAGCCATTCAGGCAGTGTGCTGTTGCTAGTGGTAGGGTAAGTAGGATTTTAGGTTATACTTACAGTCTAAAGAGGTTATAATTTCATTGTATAGGACACTGGTTAGGCCTCATTTGGAGTATTGTGTTCAGTATTGGGCTCCTTATCTTAACAAGGACATTGCATTGTTGGAAAGGATTCAAAAATAGGCTACTAGGATAATATCTGAAATGTATTATACTGTTGAGCATATGGACAGGTTACAATCTTTGAAGTTGTTGAAAAGAGTTAAATGGGAGTTGATTGAGATGTTTAAGATTTTTAAGAGAATTGATTATCAATATAACAGATTTTTTTATATTAATAGTGATAATGGTAGGAAAACAGGATATAGATATACACTTTGACAGGATAGAAGTCATCTTCAGCCAAAGCAATCAAAAATTACCCTTCAGTAGGTGGGTCTATCTGTGGAATGAGTTCTCTTCAGATGTAATGGGTACCGCAAATTTAAAGGAAGGCTTGATAAATAAATGATGAGGGCAGGCTTTAAGCTGTTTATTTTTCACTTTTTAATATTTACCTTCATCTTTAATATCTCACTCTGAATGTGCATTATAATATGATTAAGTCATGCTTTTAGCGATAACCCATTTACTGTTGGCCTGTGACAAACATTCTTATCAACTTTAAGTCCAGTGTGTACATTTGACCATTCACTGAGGAGATAATGTAAAGATCTAAGCCCATTACGACATTTCCTGGCTAATTTTGGATGCTTGGACTAAAATTTCACATTCCTATAACAAGTCTACTTACAGTATATTGGCAAAATTACCAAACTCTGTCTACATGTTACTTTCAGTGTCAGTTTTCTTGAAATACTAAGTCTCACTATTTTCATTTTCCCACATCAATTATCTATAGTGTTATGTTTATTTATGTCAAAATGAAAAAAAAAATTTTAAACTGTGTTTTAGAAAAAAAATAAACATAAAACCCTTTCAAACATTATTTTTCACTGTTTTGTATATTGAAGCACTTGTGTATAATATAAAAGGTTTACAAGCTTTATGTTGTGATATGCTGGGGAAAAAGAGAAATGATGAATTTTCTACTTAAAGAGCACAAGTACGAAATACTGTATATTTTGTTGTGTTTCAGTCTTTTTGCTCAGTTTCAGTGTAAATGGTTGATGAAAGAGACACAGAAGTCCCACTCGATGTTTCTTACATTAAATATTGAGCATATGTGAAGAATGTCCTTGCACAATATATATGTGATATAAATGTACTGTAAGAAATGTTAAATATAATTTGTGCACTACTAACTTTGATAGTTGGGAACCAGATTCACAAAATAAAAGACCAAAGAGTGAGATTTTTGAAATGAAGACAAAGTGTAAATGTAATACAATTCACACTACAAACTATTAGAATATATCAAACTTAAAGCTATGGTGAGTAGATTGCATTAGTTAGATGTGGTTAGAAATATGGTTATGTGAGAGCAGTTTTTTTTAGTGATATTAAGGTGTACCTGAGGTATGTAAATCTGGAAAGGACGTACTTCTAGATCTAAAAAAAGATATTTGCATCATAAAGTAAAGAAGGTTAGTGAGAAACACAGAAGCCTACTGATAAATTTTTAGTTATGTTGAAAAATATAATGTTCAGTGTTCTATTTATATAGATTTTGAAATTAGGAATAAGGTATAGAGGTGGGCTATATATAAGATAATCTAAAGTAAATTGCAGTTTTTTTGGAGAAGTTCTAAATTAATTTTTATGATAGAAACGAACGAACAGATCAAATTGTACCACAACATACAAAGTGTTCAAATCTTTGCATATATATATATATATAAAAATATATGCCTTTTTGTATGTTAAATTATTTGTTAAAAACACCAAAACTTGTTTTAAATTATTTGGAAAGTCTTTAAGAAGTTCATTTAAGTGATCAAATTTAGACTAATATGTGAGGATTTTGAAAAATATGAGGTTCAAAGGGTATTATATCATTTTCAAAACATATAATTTATCTTTGATTTCCTGTTTTACTAATTTTCACCTGTCTTTCAGTGATTGTGAAGTAAGCAGTGAACTTGAACCAACATTTGGTAGCAGCCCAGCCAAGCAAAGAAAAGTTGGGAGCAACAGTTGTGTTTCATTCACCAATGGTAATGATAAACATAATAAACGTGTATGAAATTAATCCTTTTTCTTCTGATTATTGTGCTTGATCTATCATTAATTTAATCGATTTGAAGATTCATACAATGTAACACAATGGTTATCTGAGCTAGCCATCCCCAGTTTCAAAATAATTAAGATTAACTTCTGATCAGAGTAAGCTATATACTTAGAAAAAAACTAAAAATCAACCTGGCAATCAGTAAAACTAATTAAATATGTATTTTTTACATTTCTGCATATAAAGATGAGAATACATTATTTCATCAGCTGGGTACTCTTACTATAACAATATTTTTGGCATTATAGACTAATGTCGATACTCATGACAAAATATTCTTTATTCTTTGAGACCACAGTACTCTCCGGGAAATTATCAAGTCACTTTGGGCCCTTTGTCCCAAACAACCATTTCAGTTGTATATTAAGGTTACATTACATGCCCTTTCTCATCTCATATGCCATGTATCACATTTACCTGAAGGTATATTTTTTGTCGCTGCTGACCCACAAACAAACGGTGCCCGGAGTGGTTTGCACTGATTGTCCACAGGACACTTTATCATTCTATCTATGTCCTCAGACTGGTTCTTCTTACCTAAGACACTGTCAGCCAGAGAAGGGGATATATATATAATTCACTGATTCATCTGATCACTATTTCTGACTTTCATGACTGATCAGATTTCGATCTTTGTTATGTTCAGTGAGGGTCTTGAAGGTTTTGTTTCCTGCACCAATGTATTTAGAGATGCTAACAAAAACTTTTTATTCATTGGGATCATTCAGTTTCCCAGGATTTATCCCCTGTTACATTTTATGCGAATCATGTCTAATCAAATTTGTCATGTTTCTATATCCTTAGCAGCCTGGTTGAATTGCATGCCGGAGGACATTATACAGACTGGTATGTGGACCTCCCCCAATATTTTTATCTCACATTATTTGCATGATCTGGAAATATCTTCATCTGAGGGTTTTCAACTACCCTCTGTAGCTATCTTAACCACATCTGCTAGATTGTACAGAGGGATGAGTATTTTCATCACTATCTTTCAGGGTCCCTTACCTTGTTTTCACAGGATCCCACTCTGTGGTGAGTGTTGCCCAGTTAGGTGTGCTTTTATCAAACCAATTCTGCACTAGCAACCACTAATTTAATATATTTTATATAGGTTGCAACAGGCTCTGTAGAAATGAGGTGCACCATTAGACCACCTAGAGGTTTACCAGGTGGTATTACTGTACTATGTTGGACTGCCACTCGTGGGCTATCCTGAGTAAAGCATAAGGGAATCCTGCCCATCTCTGCTGATCATGGGATTGAATAAATTGGAGTCGGTTTGCTTTTAAAAATTTAGGGAACTTGGTTCACCTATTGCACTGTTTTCAGAGCATTGTTCCTCAGGACTCCCCAATGAGAATACCCCCCCTCCACAGATTCTACTAGTGGAGCTAGGGAGTCCTTACCAGATGTCAGTAGGAGAGGCACCAGCCTATGCGGGAGCCTACTCGTAATACCCATTCAGACTTGACGCTTGGCTATCTGGTTGGGTTGAGCATGGCTCTTCTTTTTTGATCAATATTGGTTCAGTACATTGTTCATAGAAGAGGGCCCATTGTCTCCTCCATCCCGGGTCCTTGGTAGAGCACAGTTTGTTCCACGTCCTCCCCATAATACCGGGGGCAAGTTGTATTTACCTTGCCCACATGATTGGGGAGTGAGAATGAGTGTTCATAATTCCAGACCAGATGAGTTCTGTTTCCTCAAGTTGAGTAAGGCATACAAGATTCCATCATTCTGAGCCTGGGGTGTTACCTTTCGGAGTCTTTGGGTTGAGGAGAAGGTTTGACGACTTTGGTGTTACTTTCCTTCTTGTTGTGATTCTAGTGGCTCATAACACATCACTCTATGAATACAGGTTGGGATCCACTCATATGTATGTGTGTGTGGGTATATAGCAGTCCAATTGCGTTAGACACCAATGTGGAATATATGGACTATGACCCTAAAATTGCAATCCTGTACAGTGAAACTTTGGCTATTGGGTTGGGGCCTGGCCAATAGTAATGATAAATCATGTAAAATTCCACCCACAGAACATGAATTAAGTTCTGGGTGAAGAGCATACCTGTTCTAGATGTAGTGCGGTTCCCTCACTAGGGTGCCAGTCTTCTATTGACACATCCATGATCTATGCAGATGCTTTCTGTATGGATAATGCCCTCACTGGCCCCTCCACTTTCTCCAATGTGGAATATATGGACTATGACCCTAAAATTTCAATCCTGTACAGTGAAACTTTGGCTATTGGGTTGGGGCCTGGCCAATAGTAATGATAAATCATGTAAAATTCCACCCACAGAACATGAATTAAGTTCTGGGTGAAGAGCATACCTGTTCTAGATGTAGTGCGGTTCCCTCACTAGGGTGCCAGTCTTCTATTGACACATCCATGATCTATGCAGATGCTTTCTGTATGGATAATGCCCTCACTGGCCCCTCCACTTTCTCAATGTTGGA